CCCCAAAACCCCAAAACCCCAAAACCCCTAAGATTATCTGTGTTGTAAATAGAATGGTTGGGTGTTTGATCTAAAAATAAAATATTTATTTATATTTTAATTGGCCATGGGCAATAGAATTTGTAATTGCTAGCATCAAGCTTATAATGATGATAAGGAGACCGAAGTGGAACCCAGAGTAATTCTATTTAAGTTTGATATAATATAGAAACTAAGAGAAGTAAAGAGTCTAGAAGAGCTAAAATTAACTGCAAGTGACTTTATTGCTTTTCATAAGGGGAGATTCTTAGATTATTATGAGATCGGTTAAATTCTAGGAGAAGGTGCTTACGGTTAGGTTTATGAATGTACTAATAAACAAACAAAGGCAAAGAGAGCAGTAAAAGCAATGCTTAAAACTGGTTTCTATAATGAAGAAGAAAGAGAAAGATTCTAAACAGAAGTCTCTCTACTTAAACATATGGACCATCCTAACATACTGAAATTATATGAAGTTTTCTAGGATGATGCAAGATACTATGTTGTAACAGAAATATGCCAAGGTGGAGAACTGTTTGATGAGATTATCAAGCGTAAATTCTTCTCTGAGAAAGATGCAGCTGATATTATGACTCAGTCGCTTAAGGCAATAATCTATTGCCACTCTAATGATATTTGCCACAGAGATTTAAAGCCAGAAAATATTTTAATTGAAAGTAAAGGCAGCGTTAAAGTCATAGATTTCGGAACTGCTATGACTTTTAATCCATAAGTTGGAATGAACACAATGATTGGCACTCCATACTATATGGCACCTGAGATTCTTAAGAGTCAGAGATATGATGAAAAATGTGATGTTTGGAGTCTAGGTGTAATTCTATATTGCTTGCTGACTGGTAAACCCCCATTTGGAGGGGAAAACGACTCTTAAATATTTTAGAGTGTAATTAAAGGAGCTTATTCAATCAAAGGTAAAATTACTATTGCTTAAAGCTTGGTTAGTTTTGGCAGATAGAAGTGTGTCTTAGGAGGCTTAGGATCTCATATCTAAAATGCTGATACTTGATCCAAATGAAAGAATAAGTGCTAAAGATGCAATTCAGCATGATTGGTTTCATAAGGAAAGTAATACTAAATCTGTTGATCTAAACCATACAAGAGAATCCTTGAGAAACCTTGCAACATTTAGTGTAAAATTATTCAAATAATTGATATCTATTTAAGGCTGATTAAAAAATGTAATAAGCTGTGCTGACATACATTGTTACTTAGTTGGTTACCAATGAAGAGATTCAGAGTACAAGAGAAATATTCTAAGAGCTGGACACTAACAACGATGGCAAACTATCAAGAGATGAATTGATTGTTGGCTATAAGAAAATTTATGGAGAATTTGCTGAGGAGTAAGTTGACAAGATTTTGAGGTTAGCCGATATTGATGGAAGTGGAGAGATCGATTATTCTGAATGGCTTATAGCTACGATAAATAGAAAAAATCTAGTTTCAGAAGATAAAATAAAGCATGCTTTCAGCTTTTTTGACAAAGACGGAAGTGGTTCTATATCAGTAGAGGAATTAAAAGAAGTTTTAGGAGTCAAGAATAGACTGGTAGATGACATAGTTTGGAATTAACTGATTTAAGAGGTAGACACTGATGGTAATGGTGAGATTGATTATGATGAGTTTAAATACATGATGAATAAACTCATAGATGGTGAAATTCAAAGAAGATTCACTAAAGCAAGATCTCCTTCTCCTGATATCCGTGCTCCAAGCGTTTGATAACGACAATAAAAATTATATTGTCTGAGTTTTTTAACATTATGAAATTTCATTATTAATTTACTAGAAAGCGATGATTATTTTTAACCTTTTTAAGTCTATCAAACAAGTTTCAAATGTCAAGGTTAAGAATATGCTAATGTATAAGACTTATTGCTTCATCGTAATTCATATCTGATCTTAATTCAACGAACTGGCCTTTGCATTTTTGAGTTAGCTTAACAAAATCTTAAGTATTCTTTATCTGTGATGGACTAAACCCATTTCTATCTCCATCCTCCTGTTCATCATTCGATCTTGAAGCTTGCGACTTTTGCAATTTAGAGTAATCATTTATGATTGGATTCACTGGTTTGTTTAAAGATTTAATGTTCGAAGGGTTTTAACTTTCCTTTTCATTTTTCTTGATGTATGAACTTAGTTTTGGTTCAACTGGTGTTGTCAGCTTTGGTTTCCAATTCTGACCCTTTTTAAACAGTTTTTCTTCAAGTATCTGCATTTCTTCTTTCATTTCCCTGGCTTTATCCATTCTTTGCATATATTTATCGAGACCTTTATTAGCTGCCATTGAGTCATCTTAGTTAACTCCTCTTGCTGTACGTCTCTTATTCTGATAATTGTTAATCTATGGCTTAAAGGTACAGTCTGTAGAGTCTTTGTCTTATTTATCTTTCTAATCTTTGGCATCCTTGATTTCTAGAAGTTACATTAATCATAATAATTACTTTTTTCTTTGTATTCAGCCCAAAGCTTTGTTCTCTCTACAACACTCATAACTCCCCCAGTTGATGGCATCATTTCATATTGACCATAGTTATCATTATTCTAATTCACAAAGGACCCGTGGTTATTCTATTCTATATCCGAATTTGAATTCATTGCTTAACTAGTCAAATTCCTTACAAATGAACTGCTATTATTATTGCATTTGATGTTTGTTGTAAGGGATCTAACTCAAGTTGGTGATAAGAATAAGTCTATTGCAGTTAAAATTATAGTTTCATTAAATTTAGAAGGCTTAAAGTGTATTAATTTAATATAATTAATTTAAATAAAATAAGAATCGCATCATGTCAGCTTCAACTAATGCATTTGCTCAGATTAATAACACAGAAATAGTAGAGAAGAAAGTTGATATAGAGACAGCAATCTCAAGAATGAGAAGGCCATTAGACTAAACAACCATCAACTTGGAAGTTTATGGCGTATATGCCTTGCCTGAGCAGTGGAAATCTAAAATTGTAACGATATTTGCAGTTTCATTTTAAATTTCTACAGGACGATCCAAATGAGTCATTATATACTTACGAGCTTGAAATAGCTGGAATTAGCATTAGAAATGCTAAGCTTTGCCCCAAGGAACTTTCCGAGGAAGAAAAAGCTGAGATTGAAGCAGCTAAAAATACTAAGGGAAAATAACCTCCTCCAAAAGATCCTAAAAAGAAGGATGAGGAGCCAAGTAAAGAAGAATTAGATAAAATTGAAAAGGAGAGGAAGGAAAAAGAAGACAAAGAAAAAAAACTCAAAGATGAATGGGATGCACTAGATGAAGATACAAAATTCTACAGAACCCATGAGGACATTTACAAAGAACCATGCATTAAGTTCAATAATGTAGGAGCGATAAAGAGAATTGAAGCTTTGAATCAATAATTAGCACAAGTCCAAGAGGATGAAGAGTAAAAGAAGGAAATTCAAGAAGTCATTAGGGATCTAACTAACAGATTGTTTATAGGTCATGTGGCCTGCCAAAAGAATTCTTATGAATTGATAGAATTCGAAGAAATGGTTTCAAAAGATAAAGGTTGCTGGATAAGATTTAACAAACTTACCCCACCCGAAGAAGAAATTCTAGATCCCAAAGCTGCTGCTGCAAAGAAAGCTCCCCCTAAAGGAGGAAAAGGTACTAGTTCTGAGGACCTCAAACCTCAATTTGGAATGGCTTGGGTAAGTTTTGAAGACTTGTTAGTACCAGGAGGTCTTGAAACTAAATAAAGAGTATATCTCCAAACTTGCCCACCTTTGATAAAGAAAGTTGGCGATGATGGTGTAGAAAAATATGTACATGCTGAAGAATATGAAAATGTTTTTGAGCAGCAAAGAACCTACATTTATCTAAAATTAACTTTAACAGATCCAATTACCCCTACCATTCCTGAGTTCCCTGAACCTCAACCTCATGAAGTCGTACCTGTAAAGTAATTTATAAGATGGCCATTCAGTAAGGATCCCACTGATGATTTTAAAAAATAAATTTCATTAGCGATAGAATCTTTAGCAAAGGAATACTTTAGTATGTTTTAAAATGAACTTTAAACTGAAGCTGCAGGAGGAAAATCTGATCATGAAATCACAGAGTCATTCGAGGAGAGAAAGAAGGAATTTTTATATGAAATTAACACTTCTGGAAAATATCATATTCTCAAAGAAAAGCTCAAAAAGACCATTGTTAGAATAGTCAAAGAATATTTCAAGATGACTGGATCAATCAAAGGTCTTAAGAAAGATGAGAGAGATCATTTTTATTCAACATTATACGCATATCTTGTTAATCAGATGAGGTAAACTGTTCAATAGCTTGTTGAAAAGAAAAAAAATGAACTTCACGAGAACATTACTGTTCCTAAGGAGCTATATCAAAAGGAAAAGGACAATCTTATTGAGCAATTCTTATAAGAATCCTAAGCAGATAGATACAAAAGATTAAGCGACGAATATGAAAATCTATATTGCAATATAGCTGAAGCTGAGAACTATATGCTAAAGTATATTGGACTTTTCGAGGGTGATCCAGAGAAAATGCTTGAAATTGGAAAATTCTATTTGAGAATAGGTAAGCCAGATAAAGCCAATGATTATTTGAGAGATGCTTACTCATTTTAAATTAAGAATTAAAACATCGCATTAACTTATGCAAGTTTCTTGATTTAGTAAACAAGATCCAAAGAGGCTATTGTAATTTTAAATAGACTAGCTTTGGAAAAATATAATGAAGCCAAAGTTAACCTCTTATTATCGTTAGCCTACGAAATGGACTCTGATCCATTAATGGCTGAAAAATATAAAGCTGTGTCAGCTATTATTAAATTGAGATAAAATGGGTTGATTTAAGAGGAAGGTCAGTAATATCAAAGCAAACCCTAATCTCAGCCTCCTTTAAAGATTCAGCCTGGTCAACAACCACCAGTTCCTCCAGAACCAGATCAAAACAATTACTTAGAAAGCAAGCCAGGATTCAATGGTCATAGGCTATCTCAATAAGACTTGGATTAATTATATTTAGATTTAGCAAGTTATCTTAATGAAGTTGGTCTATTCTCACTTTCCAAAAAGGTCATAGATCAAATCAAACATGTAGAACCTGACAATGTACAAACATTTATAGCATACCATTAACTTTCAGGGCAAGTTAATCTATTAAGAAAATCCTACGACGAAGCAGTTGCAGATTTCTAAGGAATTATAAATCTCTAACCCTACAATATTTAAGCATTCTGTAGCATGGGACATTGCTATTTCTTTTAGAAAAATTACGATGCTGCTGAATAAGCATATCTTAAAGTCTTCAGATATTCTGATTTTACTCAACAGCAGATAACTGATGAATATATTTACTCAAGACTGGCAGCACTCTATGTTGCTTAGGAAAAATTTAGCTCTGCTAGAGTATTTGTTTAAGAAGCACTAGAATAAAAAGAAAATTCTTATTCATTATTCTAATGCGCGATTCTACTAATTCATTTTAATCTTAATGATGTTGGCAATAGTTTATTGAGCAGAGCTAATGTAATGGATCCTTAAAATCCAGATATTTGGGGCTACATAGCACTAGTGAGAACAATATAAAACAGAAAAAATTACTGCTTCTAAGCATTAAAGGAATCATTTAAACTTAAGCTCTCTAATATGACAATCCTCAAGAAAATTCTATATGAATTGAAGATAAGGGACTACTATGAACTATATCGTGAAACTGCAGAATTCGCATTTAGAGCAAGAGCTTTCAAGGATACTAGTATTAGGCATTAAGAGAAAGTTGAAGAGTTCCTTAAGAATATCCAAGGCGTAGAGGAACCCGCAATCATAACATAAAAATATAGGGAGCTTCTAGTAAAGACTAACTGTCTAAAGGAAGAAGATGATGAATTGTATCAGCAATTTATTGAAACCTAAAAAAGTAAATAACAATATGATAAGGAAACAAAGATTTGAAGCACATTGGAACTCTAATAAATTAAATAAGCCTTCATTCACTTAATAAACTATGATTAATTTTTCCAAATATTTGGAAATATTTATAAATAAGGGGTTTTGGGGTTTTGGGGTTTTGGGG